AATCTACCATGTAGTCATTTCCGAAATCATACTCCGTGCGCGAGAACGTAAATCCTCGGAGCGAACGGTCGCCGGAAACGGTTTCGACCACGCGAACCAGCACGGAGCTGGGCCTTCTTTAGACAGCCTTCGAATTATGCATGCTTTTCTGCTCCGGTAAGCCGAGTGATTTCCCTTAACGATCTGTCGGTTTACTTTCAAAGAGAAAGGACGGAAAAATGGAAGAGGATGAGATGGAAAGGAACGGAGAAAGCTGCAAAACTCGACTTGCCAAATAGAACGTATTATTGGTGCGTATCCGTGATTGCGGTGCGAGATCTGATGTGTGTGTGTGTGTGTGTGTGTGTATGTATGTACGTGTGTGTGAAAGCGAAAGAGAGAGATGACATAAAAAGCTCTGTGAATTTTGTATTTCCAGAGAATTAGCATTCGCGGAAGAAGCATGTTGGAAACGCAAATTTATTATGGCGCAAAATTAGCCGGCTGGTTTTGTTTCGGCTAAGTAATGCGAGAACCTGAAATAGAAATTTCCCGCGGACACGGACCGATTATTATTAACAGAGCTTTGGATCAGAGAATATTACGATATCCTCGGGATAAGTCCGGATTTCCCATTGGACTTCCCGCCCCGCTATTAGAGCGGATCGGATTACGCGGAACTTTCGAGAGTTTTGCTTTATACAAGCGAAATAATTATTAAATCGCGCGCTCGACTCAACGACGAGAGAAGCCTTTCCCGATTTTGTGATTACGCACCCAGATATTTTGATTTTCGGGCAGACGCAATGTGGGAGCCATCGTAATGTAATGCTGTCCTTAACACGGCTCCGTTAGGATTTTAATGCGCCAAGCGGTTAGTATACTACGTGCTTATTCGTTCACCATAAAAGGGGCCGTAAAAGTCAGCGCGCGGCTTTCGAGGCGAAGACAATTTCGAGAAGCGTAAGGTAATGATGCCTACCGGGCGCCGTCAACAATTTACGTCTTCCGTGAAGCAGCTCTTTCAGCTGTCGACAATGCGGATTCTCTCGCGATACGAATCTCCGAATGCTCGACGATAGTTTTCTGCATTGGTAGCGTTTACTGAAACCAGACGTTTTATCGATATACAAAAGAAATTGTCTTAAAGGGAATAATTTCGAATAATGGAAATAGCTTCACGAAAAATTTCACGAAATTTATGACGGATAATTTTTTCTCGCGTAAAGTATGACACCGAATTGGCAATCCGACCGACCTGACGATCACAATCAGTAGGAAGAAAGCAGTGCGGCTACTTGCGAAACCGCGCGCGGCTGTCCGGGTATATTATGGTGGCTGTCACACGAATGCCGGTATCTCGTCGTAGTGGCGAATCTCTCAGATTTAGCCGCAAACGCGAGGGTTAAGCCCGAAGAAATCATCAGAGACCATCGAGGTAATTACGGGGAGTCGAGCGAGAGGAACGTCGGTAAAGGTGGGTGACGGGAGATGAACAGGGAGCGAAAAGATGCTGAAGAACTGCTCGGGCAACGCACAGCTATTACCCCTAATCACGAAGAAAACACGGTTTCTCTCTCGGTGTGCGTTCTTCTCCCGTCGAAAAACATCGCCAGATTATTCGAAAAGTCGGTTTCGTCGCTCGTTACTCAACCGATGCCCGTGTCGGAGAAATAATGCGGCTCTATTACTGACTGTCACGACGGCTGCATCGTTTTGTCTTCCGCGTAGCCTTACCACTTAATGACATGATTTTACTAAAGATGAAAATACCGTTTTGTTGATTATTTAAACTTCTGTATATCTCTCTCTTATAATATTATTTTACGTTATTGTAAGATTACTAAATTATTTTTTCATATTCATCTTCTTCCAGAATTTTTTAATCAATTTAATATTTATTAATTTAATATTTTTCTTAATAAAAAAATTATAATTTTTTGACATTTATATATAATAAATAATAATAATAAATGTACTATCTTGTAAGTCTTTATTTAGAATTCGCATATTTGTCGTTTTCACACGCGGCCAATTCTTCCTTGCAGTTTACGTAGATCGCGAACCGATATTAAACCGCTCTAGTAGCCTGAAGGGGGCGAATACTCTCGCTTACCGAGTAAAATGATAAAATTGCGAGTGCTCGGAGGGAGCGCGAAGGAAATCTGCGAGACGCCTCCAGGCGAGATACGATGACGTTCGGACGGATTTAGCGCGATCGGCCAAGCGTTTAAATCTACCACGCCGTAAGGACCCATGTTCATCGTGTATAGGGCGCTCCAGAAACGCGACACTTAATATATTCTCGGGCCTTGTGAAGATACGAGGAGATGAGTGTGGTGAAATTTATATAGCCTTGAAGGAACGTGAGCACGACGTAGCGAAATTTTAGCGCTGATATACATATTATATTTTCTAAATTTATTTAAAAAACACACGTGATTTTATTATAATTGACACAATAGAAAAGTGTGACATCGCAGAAGAGAAAAACTGTCTTTGTTATGTTCTGAAACTATTTAGATCTTCTAAACATTTTCTTTCTTCCGAAGAAAAGAAAGATATATTGATATCTCGTTTTCGACAGATCATTGTAGTAAAATATACACATATATAAACATTTTATTTTCTGAATTTTTAATATATTTATTAATAGAATTATCACCTTTCTTTCTGAATTTTATCTCTTTTTGATAAAATACTCTCTGGTATTAATCACAAAGTGATAAAACCCCCAAAAAGATGATAATTCTATTAATAAAAATATTAAAAATATAGAATAAAACTTTTATTCGCCGTGTATATTTTCTTTAATAAGCTTGTATCATTCTGTGGAACACAGATAATCCTGCACCGCGAATACGTGAGAATACGAGAGAAATCCGTGAAAGAGTAGTTTCGCGCAGGGGAGCTTCGTCGCATCATTGTCGTCGTACCGCAAATGAGAGTGCCCGGGTATCCGACGTCCGGTGTATAAAACGGAATTTCGTACTCCTAATTTAGTGCAGGTGTTACGCCGGAGGATCTGACGCGTAGTCCTCTCCCGCGAGATGTCCCGGGGGACATTGGATTTACGTCGCGGTCTCTCCGCATAGCCTTCCTCCGTTCCCGTCCCGTGTGCCTCCGGACGGAAATTGCTTCGTGAAAGGCCCGATTATTGCGTCGAAGAACGACGGGGGACGATGGGGCCCCGAGACGGAGAATTTCGTAACCGGTCCACTCTCTCTCCCTGTCTCTCTATCTGTCTATCTTCCTCTTTTCCATCAGTCCGTTTGGCTCTTCCGCCGGACGAATAGATGGACCGCCTGCCAGATCTCGTAATAGAGCGCTCACCATCGCGCTGAGTCACATACTTCGTTACTGGTCTGTACCGTTGACGCGGCAAAGGGCCGCTTTAGAAATTAGATGTATTTATAGATCCGTGTAAAGTAGAATAGGAAACGTCTGGAAACTGGGACGAAACATTTGAGATTTATAGATACAAGGCAAATAAGAATAAAGCGAGGATCAAAAGTGCGACCGACTATCGTCATTTCGGCAAAAACACTAAATTAAATTTCAGAACTAAAGTTACGCGAACACTGAGCATTTCTCGTATCATCCGGTGTAACGGATCTGACTTATTCATGAGAGTTAATTATAAGCTTGTTTGTCTGACCTAAAATAGTGACCTGACGGCATACGTTTTACCGTAGAAAGATTCCTCTCTTCGACGTTTTTACGCAATTTTTAAAATCATATTAATTAAAGTGCAACTAAAAAAGACCTTGTGTCATTTTTTACGTCATTTAAATTTTAAATTGCTACGATTATTTCGGACTTCAATCTCGTTTTGCGCCATTTCTCGCGACGATGCGAGTATGAAGGCCTGAATCTTGGATTTGCGACATCGTCTCGGATGCGGGGACACTCGGTTTTACGACCCGAATCTCCTCCACCTCCTTCTCTCGGTCAGCATCGCCGACTGCACAGATCGTACGTGCGATATTCGCGCATGAGAGTCCTGGATTTCGCAGGACATGAAGAAAGAAGGTAGGAACGTGCGCGATAAGACAACGACCGTAGTAAGCGGTAAAAAGGGGTGCGGCCGCACGAAAAGTCATACCGGTGGAAAATCTGAAAAGATATCACATTACCGGGAGAAATACCACCTGGACTTTTCTCCAACATGCTTTTCTTCCGTCCTTTTCCATTTCCCGATTAATAACCTTACGATGCGAATGAATAAAGGCTGCATTTTCACATGTATTTTATATATGTTTCCGAATAATTGCACGAGAATATTAATTTATGCATACATTTTCCTAATGTTTCTCTTTGTCATAATCGTGGAGTTCAAATATACTAGTATTTATTGCGATACGCGAAACGAGAAAACAAGAGCAGATTTTGTATATTAATGAGTGCTGAGAGATTGAAATTTGCCTGGTAAAGCTGATCGTACGTTTTCATTATGAGACAATAATAAATCGAGTCAACGATATATTAATGCTGTGATTCGATTTGTTGATAGCTCAATGTCTGTGTTAATTTAACCATGAATTAATCAGAATTTGCATTAACTCATTTATTTATTGAAATTATCGATGCCGGCTTTTCAGTATTTGAATATTGCTAAATCTGTTTCAATAATATAGGTATTTGGTATGTAGTGATATATTTATAATATTTTATCATATAACTAATGAAAAATTTATATTTACATACATATTAATTTCCGGACATTCTTCTTCATATTATCGAAATGTAATTATTGTGAAAATAAAATTAACATATCATTATTTATCAAACAATATTCTTTTGCCTTATATTTTTCATTTTAATATTCATTAATTTTTAAATTCTTACACTTATATTAATTAATTTATATTAATGTAATAAATAATGCTTTACACGTTTTCTGTGTATTATATCATATCTTTTTGAATGTGACATAGAATTTTACGATTCTCCAAGTAACAAGTATATCTGCTGATATATTGTGTTATTTCATACTGTGATCGGTGATTTTATGCTTTTAGGTGACAGTAAGGGACGACGGTAGTCCTCCTTTGTCGTCGACTACAAGAGTCGTCATCGAGGTGGCGGACATTAACGATCATGGACCTGAGTTCGAGGCGAAGTTTTACACGGTCCAGATTCCAGCATCGCCGGCAACTGACAAACCCCTCTTCCAGGTACGAATTTCTTTGAAAATTCTCTTTCGTGCATTACCGTGTCTTCCCAATTGACCGTTCACCCAAGTTTCTTGTAAATACATTTCCAAATCGACGAATGGACCGAGTGAGAATAAAAAAGCGATCGCCGAGATCTACAAATCTTTCCAAAGCGATCCCCGCTTTCTCTATTGTTGTCCCCGCGTAAAAAGTATCATCTTTTTTTTTATCTCGTTGTATATAGGCGCGCGTGCGCACTATCTGTGAAATTTTTTAATTCGCAATGCGACGATGAATCACCTCGCGACATAAGCGTAAAATTTCCATTCACGTCTCGTCAGACATGCGATGACAATTTGACGCTATCTCGAGAGTCCGCGAATATTTCACCGACGCACAATTCGCAGGGAGGCGCCGCACTGTCTCTTTTTCTCCCTCTCTCTCTCTCTTTCTCTCTCTCTCTCTCCCTCTGTCTCTCTTTCTCTGTGATTCTGTCGGACCATAAAAAGACAGTCTGATATATTACACCAACACGAAACAGACTGCCTGCGACCTCTCCTCCCTCGCTTTTCGTTATCGTTTTCCCATCAGAGCATTCTTTTCTCGATGTGATCAAAGTAACCCGTCACCGAGTATCGCTGCGTAGAAAGGGTAGAGATTTAGCTCACAAGCCCCAGCACGAGATTCCCGGTACAGCATCATCCCATTTCTCTCTCTCTCTCTCTCTCTCTCTCTCTCTCTCGTCCTCTCTCGTAACCTTTGTGAATACGACGGCGAACCTTTATGAACGTCGCACGTCCGCTGCAAACACGAGCATCGACCCTGGAGGTCGACCGACGCAAATTAAATTACGAGGCGTCGTTGAAACGATGCAGACTTAATTGAAGACAGGGAAATTTACGACCTTGATTTAAAACAGATCAATACTTAAATGCAGCGCGCTTACAATTAGGCACAATGACGAGATTATCTCGCTAAATGCATATAAGTAGTGAGAAAAATATCGTTTTGATTTCTAGATTTGATTGTCACAAAAAATTAAAAACTCGAGAATTTATAATGTTTTGACCGGTACGGAGATAGTATGCATAAAAGTTGTTAATTTTCATTACAGTCATTATGTTGATCGAGCCTCCTCATGTAGTGCATAACAAGACATAAGTATTAATATAATTTTATCTTACTTTTTTTTCTTTTTTTAATTTGTTATGTCTGTCTTTTTCTCATTTATTCTCTCTGTATTTTATTCTGAGTTTTGTTGAACTTGTTATTACATTTTTCTTTCTTTTTTGTATTAAAGGGATCTCTTTTCCGTTTATAAATAAATAAATTAAAATTAATGTTATTTGTTTACGGTCAGAATAGTGAAGACAAAAACGTTGGAGAAATAAAAGACTTTCTGCTATATTTTACAAATACAAAAGAGAACATATTTTTCGAAACAAAGGCTTTGCATTAAGAAACAATATCTATCAACCTTTAAAAAAGAAAGAAATAACACATTAAACAAAAATATTACTCTTATCTTTACATGCATTAAATACATAGCTTGTAGATGCAATGTATGATATAAAATATAAACAAAGAGTATATACGAAATTATGCAAAAATGTCAAGTTTTTCCTGCTTATAAAAGCATCTCGAAATCGCGTGTGGCTTTATTGCATCGAAACTTGAATCGACTTTGAGTTTTTCTCGGGCGACGTGGCGTTGGGCAGCAAGAAGTAACGAGGATAAACGATCGCCACGTAGACACGTAGACGCGTCGGGAGAGGAAAGAAAAAAAAAAAAATCTCGAATCGCCGATAGAAACAGAGTCCTGAGGCTAAATGCTGTCCTCTCTGGTTCTCGACAGAAATCGAAGAACCGCTCGCGGGAGTTCGACCTTTCGAGCGATACGTTACTAGAGAACGGGACTTGGGAGACATTTAGCCCCGACACCCTGTCAGGAGATCGTATCTTCAGGGTAAGGACACCTTGGCACGTAAAATAAGCGCCTGACACGGCGCGCGCGCGCGCGACCATGGCTCGATATATATATTGTATACTATATTTGATTATGCGGCTGGATTATATAATTTCTGCGCGAGCTATTTGCGTTAATTCACGAAACGCTTTTATATATCGATCGTGCATCACAATCATATCTTTCTGTGATTACGTACATTCTCTTTCTTTTTCTCATGCTACCGCTGTCCATCGATAGAAGGGCTACACATGTGTACCCGCATTTAATTGATTGCACCTTGATTAGTCGCGCATATATACGTTATCAAATTATCAGTAAAGCTAATAATTGTAGCAAATAGAAAGCGCGACAAATTTATTTCGCAATTAATCTTTCTGTGCGCGACCACTCAAGGTTCTACATTTTCTTTATGTGTTACGTATGAACATATGTATATATATGTCACTTTAGCATTTTTGGCTGCGCCTTTTTTCGCCCCTTGTCTGTCTTTCTACCTTTCTATCTCTAGCCTACCTATTCGTGTCCTTCTCTCTATATCTGATAATTCGCGTGCCTCTCTTGTGCTCGTCTATATGTATTGTGCTCCTGAATGTTGCCTTATCGTACACGAAGCTGTCGCCTGAGAATGTTCCGTTATCTCTTATCGCTACTAATGATTGCACCGCCAAGGATCTTGAAGCGGGAATCAAGGATATCGATTCCTCCTTGAAATTTTCTGCACGATCCCGGCTTAGCACGGGTCATTTGCGGTTTCATTATTACCGTAGAATCGAGAAATATTCGCGCACGCTTCTTTCCCGAAGGATTATATAAATATATATCTGCGTAAAACATCTGCGAGAGGATACGCAATCGAAAAATACTTATTTATACGCATGATCGAGCAAGCACGATCGAAGGGAAATAGGGCGAAACTACAATAGATTGCGTCTGCATATGCACATTTCACAAGCGCCCGACGCTATGTTTGAAATTTGCAAACAACGCAGGGCTCGGTGCATGCGCGAAAATGCATGTGCCGCATAAAACGAGCCCACGAGTCTTTCTTTTTCCTCCGCGCGCGACAACGTAATTAGTCAAATTTATCGCGTCTTCATTTCTTCGCGCGACGTCGTCTGGAAGATGCACACGCGAGAAGAGGAAGGAATGCATCGTCATCAACGAACCGGCGTGTGGAAAAATATTTGTTCGGAAAAGGAAAAGATATCGGAGCAATAGCGGAGACTGCGGAAAAGTAATGTGTAGACGAGCATATGTTTCCACATGTGTATGTATACCAGATTCTCTTTCTCTTTCTCTCTTGCTGAGGATAGCAGGCGAATGCATTCGTAGCAGTTTTCGTTTCGCACGACTACTATCTCACGTTCTTAACATGTTACCGCGATCGCGATCGTTGACACGCTTGAGGCTGAATCGGCACACGGCAATAGAGCGGCTGCTATACATTTCGTTATCATCGACGATCTTAATTCCTTTTCTTTCAATGTACCGCATGCGGATTGTATGAATGCCAATGTGCTTCGAAGACTCGTTGTTTCGCGACGCTACAAGGAACAATAATAATATAATTGCCCGAATTTAGAGGATATATAATTTATTGCGCCGGGGTATCTTTTTTATTTAAAGAAAAAAACAAACATTTTTTTTTTAATAAATATTTTTAAATTGCAATGAGAGCCATTTTATAATCTCTTTTATGATAATAGAAATAATTATGTTGAACGAGTCACCGTTTGCAATGTATCAATTTTATTTACAGTATTTATTCTATACGCGGCTATAGATTAGACTAACATTAGAGTTACGTCATAGTAGATGGATTTGCCATAACACAACAACAACGAGATAACTTTCGAAATTTGTGTTAGGTTCTTGCATACGATCAAGATATCGGAGAAAATGGAAGAATCCAGTACAGCATCAAGGGCGGTCGAGGAAAGGGCAAGTTTAAAATTCATCCCACCACGGGCATGGTGTATTCCCAGCGTGGGTTCGAGGCTGGTCAAGAATACGAAATGATGGTAAATAGCATATAAATAACTATCTTATTTATCAAATCATGATTTTATATCATTAAGCTATCGAATAAAATGGATTCGGGAAATTTAATCATCCGAGATAGAAGCTGTATATGAAATATTTAAAGCAAATAATAAAATAAGAGGGAGATAATTTTGTTCACTGACATTCTTGTATAACGCGAGTCACGTTGTAGATTAACGTCTCTCGTAAATAAATGAAAATTCCTAAAGCATAAAAGTGAAAAAATATAATGAATAGAGAATATCTAATATATAATAATTGGCTATTGTAATCCTGTGAAATTGTGTAAAACTATACGTCACACTGGTGTAAGAAAGAAGAATATTGAAGCAAGAAGAAATTGGAGTGAATTTACATCGTATTACGTAAATTACGTCGAATTGGGTCTCAGATTCTGACTTTATAATACAGCATATTCATACCGGTATCCCTGCGATGTAAACTCGATTTGAATCGGAACTTCCACGTACGCTATATGTTCCATAGATACGAGCGGCCGATCATGGAGAACCCCCGCGTAGTCATCAGACTCGAGTTTCCGTTCAAGTTGTAGAGGCATCAAAGGAATCGGAAAACCCTCCGGCGTTCAAGACAAATAATCAAAGCGTGCAAGTCACGGAAAGCGATCAGGCGGGCTTTTTAGTCGCGCTTATGCAAGCTAGTGACAAGGATGGTGATTCTTTGTGGTACGATATTTTAGGTGAGAAAAATTAACACTCTTTTCGATAATAATCTAAGATAGAGGCATTGCGTTCATTGTCGTAATCATATCAAAAATGTAGTCGTGCAATAATTAAAATTTTTCATTTTAATAATAACACAATACATACATACAAAGATAAAAAAGAAAACCATGTATTTATTTTTATATTTATTTTTTTATAAAAATATATTGGATTTATTATATTTTTTTTAAGCACGTAATATAATTACGTGTATTAGACGTATAATATGATGGAATAAAGAAAATAGAGGTCATCCTAAAATCTATCGACGCATTTTAGACGGCGACAAGCGCGACGAGTTCTTCATCGGCCGCGACAATGGCAACGTACTACTCGCCAAGAGGCTGGATTGGGAAACTCAGAACTTTTACAATCTCACGATCGGTGTAACGGACGGCGTGCACAC